AGCACATGTGAGTGCTAGTTCATCCCGTTCTGCACCTCTGCACCTCCTACCAGCCTCAGTGTGCTTTCTTCTTTCTCCAGTTGTAGTACTTCCACTCAGCCAGCTTTTCCATGGTTCTGGATGATAGTTTTTTTGTATTTTAGTTGTAATTTTGATGTGGTTGTGGGAGGCAGCAAGTACAGGCATTTACCTATGCCGCCATCTTGGTTCCCCCCTTAAAGCAGTCCCTTTAACATTTCTTGCATTGCTGGTTTGGTGGTAATATACTCCTTTAGCCATTTTTTGTCTGGAAAGCTTTTTATTTCACCTTCAGTTTTGAATGATAGCCTTGCTGGATACAGTAGTCTTGGATTTAGGCCCTTGCTTTTCTTTACTTTGAGTACTTCATACTTCATGCCACTCCCTTCTGGCCTGAAGTGTTTCTCTTGAGAAGTCAGCTGACATTCTAGTGGGTACTCCTTTGTAATTTTTTTTTTCTATCTCTCTCTTGGTGCATTTAAGGTTCTTTCTTGGTCTTTAACATTTGCCATTTTAATTATGATGTGTCTAAGTGTGTGTCTCTTTGGGTTCATGTTGTCCCAGAGCTCCCTTAAGCTATCTCCCTGCTTTCTAAATCTTTTTTCTATTTTCTGTTCTTATTGGGTATTTATTTCTACCTTGTCTTCCAGATCGCTGATTCAATCCTCTGCTTCATCCACTTTACTTTTAATCCCTTCCAGTGTGTTCTTGATATCAGATATATCATTCTTCATTCCTGTCTTGTTCAGCATGAAAATGGAATCATGACCTTTATTTCCCTTTACATGCTGTTGTTTTCTTTATGCATTAAGTTTTCCTTAATCATATTTTTTTTAAAATATCTTTTTATTGATTTCAGAGAGGAAGGAAAAGGAAGAGAGAGAGAGAAACATCAGTGATAAGAAAATATCATTGATCAGCTGCCTGCTGCACGCCTCCTACTGGAGATCGGGCCCGCAACTTGAACATGTGCCCTTGACCAGAATTGAACCTGACCGGGGTATGTGCCCTGACTGGGAATTGAACTGTGACCTCCTGGTTTCTAGGTCAATGCTCAACCACTGAGCCATGCTGGCCTTAAGCATCTTTATAACCATTGCTTTGAACTCTATGTCTGATAGGTTGCTTGCCTCCCTCCCATTTAGTTCTTTTTCTGGATATTCCTTTTCTCTCATTTGAGGGTTGTTTCTTTGTCTCCCCATTTACCTGTCTGCTTGTATTTGCTTCTATGTATGAGGTAGAACTGCTATGCCACCCTCCCAGTCTTTGTGGAATGGCCTTATGTAGAAAGTGTCTTAAGGGGTCCAGTTGCCTAGTCTCTTTGTTCACCTGAGCTGGATACTCTAGGAATGATCCTTATGTGTGCTGTTTGTGCTCTCCTGTTGTAATTGGGACTTGATTGTTGATGTCCCATTTGTGGGAGGGATCTTTCCTCTCATTGGATGCCAGTGAGCTTCATCCCCAGTGTCCTCGTGCCAGCTGTTATACAGGTGCTTTGGGTCCGCTATTTGTGGGGCTCACTGGATTTTTCTCTGATGTTGTTGAATCTGGTCCCTTGATGTGTCTATCCTGCTCCTCATGGTAGCTGCTCAAGTGCAGATGTATGTGAGTCACTGTCCCTTTCTGGTCCTAGGCAACCTGATTGAGGTCTAAGAAGTTGAATCCTCTTGTAGTCCAGTGGTCAGGGACTTCTTAACCCAGAGGCTGGATCTGTCTTGAGTCTCACACTTTATTGACCCTGTTTTGACCTGCACTTCCTTCCCCCATGGAGCTAGTCCTGCAGCTGTCAGCTGCAGCGTTTGGGGTCCCACTGGCTTTTGCCTCACTGAGCAGTATGGGGTAGTGTCCGTGGTGGGGACCCAAACTGCTGTTTTTGACTAATTAGAGCAGGTGTCAGCTCTGGAAGTGGCAGAGTGTGGTGGATGGAGCCCTACACTGGGAGCTTAGGCACCTGGATTCTCTCACCAGCGCTGCCCCTTCAGGGCTGTGCTCTCATTCTGTGCAAGCCTCCATTTCCCCATGTGTGCATTGAAGGTGTTGGACTAGAAACAACCCTTCCCAAATAGGTGAGGGTTTGCAGACTGCTCTTCCCCCCCACCCCCTGCCTCCCCAGAATTTCCAAGTCTTCAAGCTAAAAGTAAAACTAAGCAATCAGGGTGGAGCACCCGGTTTCTTTACGGTACCTGAGTGGCTCAGCTAACTATGCCCATGGAACTTGATCTAATGAAGACAAGTTTGCTGGGTGATAGTCTGCACTAGATGTTAGGCTCAGTCCTGAGGATACAGTAGGGGATAAGACAGCCTGGAATGGGCTGACATAAACAAGGGTCTACACCAAGACTGAATTATAGAAGGTATAACTGCACTGGAAATGAGCAGAAGTGACAGGAACTTGGTCAGTACGGATGCTTAAATAGGGACCTGAAACATGAGTGTGGCCAGCAGGTGAAGATGTGGGAGAAGAATCCCAAATCTTTACTTAGGAAAGACAATGCAGACCTGAGGCCAGCAGGCAGGTGCTGGACAGCTTGAGGCACAAAGAGAACAGTGTGGCTACAGTGTGGTAGTGCTGGGGGACTTTGGTTTTCAGGGAAATTAGAGCCATGGGCAGAGGCCAGATTGTGTCAGGTTCTTACAGGATGTGTTAAGGATTTGGACTCACTCTCTGGGCAGACCTTGAAGGGTTTTAACCTACATGTGATATAATCATATTTGGTTGTCTCCTTAGGGTCTGAAACCTTATTTTTTCCCCCCACAGGTTCTTGATATTGAAATTCTAGCTTCACAAACACTAATTCTGTCACATTACCCCCGATGAATGTAATACAACAAAGTGAAGGCCACAAAGCCAGGGCAGACAGAGATGGCAGGTAGCCCACTGGGCTCACCACTGGCTCCAGAACTTACCTCCACCTTTCCAGCCTCCCAGACCACCCAGTTGAGATATGCACCTAACAAATCTGACAAGTTGCTACAAATCCATCTGCAGAGAGAGTGATGAGAATGTTGTTTGGGGAGAGGTTCTTTTGAGGTGGGATCCATGGAAGTGGGTAGAGATAGAAGATTTAAGAAGGGGGCATCTATGTCAGGCAATGAAAGACTGGAAAACAGTAACTCACATGTGTTCATTCAACCAGTACATTTTACGAGGTCTCTGATTCAAATGGAGCTGTGGTAGCAATGAATAGAGATGAATGAGACTCAAAGAGCTCACATTTACATGGAAGCCTCCAGGATTTGTTCCCAGGTTCTGACTCTGTGAGTTCAGACTGAGACGTCTTGTGCCCTTCCAGTCCCTGACTTGCCAGATGCTTTTCTGTTACTGGAGCTGAAGGTGCAGGTTGCCTGGACAGGGAATATGGAATCCTAGGTTGAATCCTCATTCTGCCTCCAAGTTGCAACTTCCATTTTCTTCTTTATAAAATGGACAAAGGAAATAAATGCTCTCTCAGATAATATCCCAGCACTAATATTTTACATTTCATGCCCATCCCCTGGCTGGCAGTGGGAACTCATGAAAAGGAGTGGGAAGGGCAACATTTGAGTTGGGATTTTCTCTGTTAACTACTTCCAGCCCTGTCCCAGAGGTCTCTGTGAGATGGTGTTCCATGGGGATAGCCTGCTGCCGTGAAAAGCTGTAACTGAGCCTCTCTCTGACCCTGCAGGTATACCCTTTGCTCCCGGGCACATCAACCATCATGATCCACGACTTGTGCCTCGCCTTCCCAGCCCCAGCGAAGGCTGATGTTTATGTTTCAGACATTCAGGAGCTGTACGTCCGAGTGGTAGACAAGGTCAGTGTCAGCTTCCTGATCTTCCCCTTCTCTGCTGATTCACAGAAACCAGGAAGATGCTGTGGTCATGGGAGATATTTTTTCTCACATTCTTCGCTTTTTCTCCTGGTTGCTATGTCCCTTCTGGGTTGCTGTGAGCTGGCACTGCTCTCTCATCTCTGCTGTTCTGTGCACATAGTGCAGAATGAGCTCTGAGCGTACTTCTTCAGCCCAGTGGACAACAATAAAGCTTGGCTGCAAATGCCCCTTGGAGCTGTCTCCACATCAGCCTGGACCAGGGATTCCTGTCCTGCAGCTGATGCGGGTCACTAGCCAGCTGGGTGCACACCTGATGGAACATGATATTTTCTCCCCACTATGTAGCTTTTGGAGTCTCAGGAATTTCATTGGCAATTGAATGAAGCTCACTAATGCCAAGTCTTTTGCAAAGTAAATACATAATAGATATAGGCTTTTCTTTAATATAAATAGGAAATGTTTATACTCCAAATACCTAAAGTAACTGTAGCTAGATTTACAGAGAGTTACTGTTGGTTCCTATTTTTCTGAGTGGAGAGAATGGTTAATTAAAAGGGAAGTGTTTGAGCAGCTTAGACAACTTAAAAAGCCAATATTCTCTTACACAGCCTCAAATATTCCTCCTATGGTCTCATTTTCACTGGTGATTTGCTGACAAGATTTCACTTAGCATTTCTGACTCCCATTTCTTAAAGTTCTTACTGTATGTATGTATTATATGCTGCCAGGTGGGAGATATTCAGTCATTATGCACTTATTGAACTACACTACATCGGCTGCCATTCTAAGCTGTGCCTTATCTAACTCGATGGTTAGTTCTTTAAGAGTGGGGAGTGTAATTTATGCATCTAAGTAACTGCTTGTATACAGCAGTTATTCCATTGATTTTCATTTGTTGATTGGCTCATGGTCTGGAGGTCAATCCAGGTGACCTGTCCCTAATTTCCAGGTCTGGGGGTTTGAGGTTGGTGACATTTCTCAGAAGGTCGTAGGTTGCTATAGGTGGTGGAGTTGGTCATTCCAAACCCCCTGAGTCTGTTCCCTGTGATATAGGTGGAGATTGGGAAGACAGTCAAGGCATATGTCCGTGTGCTGGACTTGCACAAGAAGCCTTTCCTGGCCAAATACTTTGCCTTCATGGACCTGAAGCTCCACGCAGCCTCCCAGATCGTCACATTGGTGTGAGTTCCCCAGGGTTCAGGACAGAGTATCTCAGGGACGGTGCTGACAAGTCTGTCTGGGGGAGAAGTCCCAGCCCTTCCCTCTGTTCCAGCTCCCTTGACGAGGCCCTTGACAACTACACTGCCACGTTCCACATCCATGGTGTGGCTATTGGCCAGACCAGTCTCACTGCAGCTGTGACTGATAAAGCTGGACAGAGAATCAACTCAGCCCCACAACAGATTGAGGTAAAGTTGTTCCTCTTCATGCCACGTGGGGTCAGCCCAGCCCCTAGTGGCAACACGGGTGGAGAGGGGAGGACATCCTTTTTGTGATAGGCCACTTTAGCATCTGTGCCCTACAGTGTGCCTTGATTACCAGCCTCAGGGAGCTGAGGGCAGCCCCAGAGGAAGGGCTGAGCTATTTTAACCTCCCTCTGGGACATGGGGGCATTGATGTTGCTCAGAGAAAGGAAGCCCCTTATCACCCAGCAGGGTAATGGCAGGCACTCTAAGCTGCTGTAATGCCAGACAGAAGTTGTGGACAGCTGTGCGGATGCTCCCCTGGCAATCAGTCTGAATGTTAGACGGGACCCTTAGAAGGGGTAAGCTTTCAGGATGGGAGTGCCTGGAGCCAGCAACTACTGGATAGGGGAGCACTGAGCTCCCCCCAGCATCATCTCAGCAAGTGGCTTGGGCTGTCATGTGGTGTTAGCTTTTGACTGGACCCCCACAGTCACCAGGGACCTAGGCAGCCATGACCAAGAAGTCCTGCCCAACTTTATTCTTCTTCAGCAGCACTAGACTGCTTGGCTCTTGCTTGCATCTTCCAAGGGTCTCGGCCACACATGGGCTTGTGTGCTGTATGTTAATTAATCTGTGTCTGGCACTGGTGGATGTGGACTGTGCCTCCACATGGAAGTGCACCTTTCTCCTGGTGGAATGGAGTTCATTTCTGCCTGTGAATAGCTCAGCCCTGAGACTAATCCTCACACACAAAGCAGCCTCTCAGCCACTGGCTCTTTTGCTCACCCTTAAGCTCTCCTCTTGCTGGGTGGGGGTTGGGGAACAAGAGGAAGATGTGGGGCTTTGCCTTGCTGAAGAGATGGGGCATCCTCCTCCCTACCCTTGGGCCCACTTTCTGAGAAGTTTTGAGGGCATTGAAATAGAGGTAATTTGTCAATAGGAATTTAGAGAAATTTGGGAAAGAGGCAAATTTCCAAAGATGAGTTGGGGAAATCTGAAAAGCAGTGCATTTGAAACTGACATGTAGCGAATCTCCCAGATCACAGGACCCACCTGATCCTACAGGTCTGGGTTGGAAAATGCATCTCTAATGGTTCCCAGGAGACCTTCACAAGCAGTAGGACACGCCCCCAACCACAGAGTCTTGCACCCGTGGGTGGGATGAGAGCCTATGGGAGCTACTCAGGCTCCCCCAGAGTTGGCACAGGACTCCAAGGCTCTCCCGGGTACCCCTTCACAGAGGAGTGATTTCCACACACCATGTTCCCTTCTCCCTGAAAATGGTGAGTGAATTATGCCCAACAGCATGAGCTTGGAATGCAACGGTCCCCTCTTTCTCTTTTGTCTCCACACCCAGGTCTTTCCCCCATTTAGGCTGATACCCAGGAAGATGACGCTGATTATTGGGGCCATGATGCAGGTATGAGCCAAAGGCCACATCCTTATGCCACCCACATCCACGGCCAGGCACCAGCAGGCAGTAGCCGCACACCCTGCCCGGGCTCCAGGTGTGCCCACCTGCCGTGGGCATCGACAGGCTGAGATGGAGTGCTCTGGGATGTTAGCACTCTCATCCTTGAAGACAAGGTGTGGCTGCCAGGAGAATAGGGGTTGACGGCACTGCTGTTTCTCCCCATTCCAGATCACCTCTGAGGGAGGCCCCCAGCCTCAGTCCAACATCCTCTTCTCCATCAGCAACGAGAGCCTGGCAGTGGTGAACTGCGCTGGGCTGGTGCGGGGACTCGCCGTTGGCAATGGCACCGTGTCCGGGGTCGTCCAGGCCGTGGATGCTGAGACCGGAAAGCTTGTCATCGTGTCTCAGGTAACAGGCCTGGGCTCCATCAGAGATGGGTGCTTTCTGAGTCCGCACTCTCACGATGGGGTGTACTGCCCCCTAGCAGCTGCAGGGTGGTCATTTGTGAAGGGGAGGCAGCTCTGGTTACTGGGTTTGGGCTCTGCTCCCAAGGACCATCCCTCTCTGAGGGTCTTGTTTCTGCCTTCTGAGGCTATAATCCCTGTCTGTCACCTAGATCAGCCCTGCCAACTCGAGGCACCTGGATTCTTCTCCAGACCGAGTTCCTAACTTCTTTTTAAGGAACAGGGTCTCCAGCCCTTGCCCTGGGGATGGTGCCAGCCATGGTGACAGACTCTGCCCAGACCACTGTGCACCCCGCCTATAGCCTCAGCACCTGGCAGTTGTGCCCCTCTCCCTGTTTCTAGATGAGGGGCTAGGGAACCTGCTAGAGGCACCGGTGACTACACCGCAGTTCTAGGACTGACCTGGACCTGCCGACAGCAAAGCTCTCGGTCCCTTTGTTCCTTCAAATCAAGCAGGGCTGGGATGTTCCAAGGGAAGAGAAAGGGTGCTGTTGGCTCTCTCACACGTTGTGGATTACAGTGTGAGTTTTCAGAGATGTGCGCTGGCTTGGCTTAAAAGCATAAATAATAGACACCAACAGTATTTTGGGCCTGGATTTGTATTTCCAGGAGAAACAAAACTGGAATCTTCTACTAATATCTTTGGCTCCTCTAGAGGTTGTCTTTCAAGCCTCTTTGCTGAGTGGGGACATTTCCTGGTTGCTTTTCTGTGTCAGCATGATGCTGGAAAGCCTAGCTAGGGGAGGCCTCTCCTTGGGAGAGCCCCACTGCTCCATGTCGGTGGGACTGACTCCAAGCACATGAAAGTTGATGTCCCCAAATCTGATGACTTCCCTTCTTTCCAGGGGGATTGGGTACTCTTTGGGCCCCTGGAAAGGAGATGGGAGATCATTTCCACCTCCTGAGAAGGGCTCAGATCACTTGGAATCTCCCTAATACTTTGGCCTGCAGTGACCTACGGAGCATCTCAGGGGAGGCTGCCTCATGCTTACGGCTGTGATGGAAAGCCAGGCCTAGTGGAAGCATTTTGTTTTGTGTAATGTTTCAAAGCCCAGTCATCCTGTTCCTTGCTGGAACTGGGACCCTGGAAGAAAGGAGCTGGGGCACCGTGCTGCCCGGGGAGGGAGGCTGATGCACCGTCCTCCCCCAGGCTGACTCTGAGCTGATGTTAAGTTCACTGATTTACTTCTTTCTCCAGCAGTTTCAGTGTCTTCCATGTACCCCAGTTAAACTGTGCAGTCCTTTTGAATCGTGGAGGTGGACACTGGTTCTGCTTGTCAATTTGCTGAAGATCAGAAAGTGTTGGGAATGTAAAAGTCCACCTTGTGGCACATCATGTTTTAGATAGGTGTCTTGGAGAATAAATTAAGGAATAAGGAGGCTCTGCCCTTGTTTTCTCTCTAGAGAGAGTATTGCCATAGAAACTGGCTTACTTTTCCCCTCTTGGGGCCCCAAGTGGCTGAAATGGCAGCTGACTAGAAATTTGGCCAAAGGGACACATAGCCATGCATTTCCCTCCTGGCTATCTCTGCTCATTGTGGTCTAACCTTGCTGGGCCACCCCTCTTTCTGTGTCTCCATCTGGCAGGTTGGGCACGGGGGCTGCTGAGAGAAGACCCTAATGCCCCTTGACAGAGGGAGAGGCTATACAAGTCCAGGCAGGTGCCAGCTCAGCCCGAGGCCCGTGTGTCCCCGAAGGGATTGTGATTCTGGTCTGAAGCTTCCAGTTCTCTCTGTCCAAGAATCAGCACCCAAGGTCAAGGGGTGGACCAGGACTGGCAGGAGGAAACCGAGTAATGAGAACAATAAAGGAAAGGAAGGGATTAAGTGCTTATTGAGGACCTACTATGTGCCAGGCATTAGCCCAGATCACAAGATACAGGAGATGGGCTCAGTGCGAGGGCTTAAGGGTCTTACTAGCAATACTCAGCATGAGTCAAGAGTACTATGAAGAAGCCAATCGAGCTCGGCTAGGTTTATAGGAGAATAAAGTTCAGAATGAAGGAGGATGTAAAATCTGCTCTAATCAGGCTCTGCCTGGCTCCTGCATTTGTCCATCTACTATGCTCAGTCAGAGAGCAACAGGCTGGATTTGGGGTTGGGAGTTGGGAGGGTCTGGAGACCTGTACTTCCCAGCCTAGAGAAGAACAGTCCCCAGTCACTGCCCCCAGTCTCTGCAGTGCCGACCTGGAGCACCTAGATCCGACAGATCTGTAGGCTCAGAGAGCCAGGCTGGGGCCCGGCTCTCCCCCAGGGAGTGGGAGAGGCAGTGACCAGGTCCATGTGAGGTGAGCCACCCACAAAGCTAAGCCACTCTGGAAGAGAAGCATTGGGCTAGACATCCTGTGGATGCCTTCTACCCATGTGACTGAGCGAGCCTCGGAGGAAGCAGGGGTCCCTTCCCGAAACCACCGTTGCTGGCACAGTCCCATCCTCAGCCCATCTGAGCTCCAGAACTCTTTCCAAAAAAAAAAGTGGAGGTAGCTCCTGCAGGCAGTGAGGATCCGAGCCCCCATCACTCGGATGAGGACAGGGACCCAGGTGAGGTGGACCCCTCTCCAGCCCCTCCTCTCTGTGCTGTCTGAGCAGCCTCTGGCAGGTTTGGGGCTCTGAGTTCTGGTTCAGGATGAGCTTAGGGGAGCCACTGCTGGGAGCAAGGGCCCTGCAAGATGAAGAGAGGAGAGCATAGGCAGGGACCCAGGCAGGGTGTGATGGCTGCTGGGGACTGCAGGTCATGAGAGGTCTAGGGGTCATTTCAGGCATGGAGTCTCTCGGCCAAGGTGAAATACAGCCCACGGCTCAAAAAGGATGGGTGGAAAGGTGCTTTTCTATCACACCTTCCTAACCTGTGCAGCCCATCTCTGGTGTGGGCAGAGTCAAGGCAGCTCATGTTGCACAAAGGAGACACGAACGTCCCTGGGCAATGGAGAGTCAGATGGGGCAGTGCCCAGAGCTTCCAGGGGTGCTCCTGGCAGTGGGACTCTGCTGGTCACAGGCCTGGTATTTCCCCCACAGATGCCTGTTTACATCACTGGAATCACTAACAACCAGAACCCTTTCTCCTTTGGTAATGCTGTGCCAGGCCTGACCTTCCACTGGTCGGTCACCAAGAGGGACATTCTAGATATCCGGGGGCGGCACCACGAGGTAAGCACCTGCCCAGAGCCTCCCCTCCATCCCAGGCCACAGTTCGGGCAGGAAGGGTCCTCCCCAACTCTGCACACAAGGTCTGCATCTTCATACAAGGCCAGTCCTAGCCCTTTTCTGCTCTCTGTCTTGAGGCTTATCAGGACACTGCCACCATTCTCTCTCCCCCGATGTGTATCCTCGACTCTCAGTCCTGTGTCTGGGAATACGGTCTCCCAGCGATCCTTCCCCTAGTGCTCAAGGACTGTGTGCAGCCCTTTTCACTTGAGGCTCATTCTTGCTAACCACTATAGAGGAGTTTATGGCTAAGCTACTAACAGAAGGCAACAAAAATTACAGCCTTGTGGGGGCATCAGAAAAGTCCTAGAATGTCATAGAGTGGCTAAACTGTAACTTCTACCCACTTTCTGAGATGATGCTGGAAGCCCTGGGGTTTTCTCCTGGTCTATCCCAAAGGCTCTCCAGTGTGTGTGTGTGGGGGCGGGGGCTCTGCCCTCCTCAGATCTCAGAGCTGGCAAGTGTTGGAAATTACTTACTTAAACCTCTTTGTGTTAACTGAAACTCATACCTGGGAAGGGACTCACCTAGGGTTGCCCAGTGAGCCAGTGGGGAGAAGGAACTGGGTGTCAGGCCTGGTGACTCCAGGCTGCCACCCCAGTTAGGCCTTGGGTGTACAGGACCTGAGTGGGAGGTGGTTCTGGGATAGTCCTTCTTGTCTTATCTGTGAATAGTGATGGGGGAGGGTCTGTGATGGGGAGGAGCCAGGCCCAGGGATGGAGTTTCCTAGAGGCTGCCAAAAGCTCATCTAGTATAGGGCAATTTCTTCCCCAGGCCACCCAGGAGGTCCAGGGTCCTGTCCCCAGTGCCAGCACTTTCCCAGGCAGTTTCCTTGGTATGTGGGCAGTGACTTCTTCACAGACATCATAACAGAGGGCTCTGCAGGGAAACACTGCCAAGCCTAGAGACCCTCTAGGTCAGTGATCGGCAAACTGCGGCTCGGCAAACCGTGGCTCGCGAGCCACATGTGGCTCTTTGGCTCCTTGAGGTGGCTCTTCCACAAAATATCGGCTCTTCCACAAAATACCGACTTCTGCACATGGGCCACGAAGTTTCAATCGCACTGTACGGTGCGCCCGCATGGGGTATTTTGTGGAAGAGCCACACTCAAGTGGCCAAAGAGCCGCATGTGGCTCGAGAGCCGCGGTTTGCCGACCATGGCTCTAGGTGATTCATAACCATCTCCACACACTAAAGGCTCTGAGAAGTCCTGCGTGGAAATGGTGGGTTGACCCAGCGTTTTCTGCATTCACCCATGAATGAACACGGTGACTCAGTATGGGGCACTCCGCTCGTCCTGGGTGATTGCAGTCTGTGCACTTGGGGTCAGCAGGCCTGACCAGGGCAGGAAGGCAGCAGCCTCAGAGAACAGTCTGGGGCTCTGTCTGGCTCTGCCCTTTGGGGATGCTGGGGCCCCAGGGCTCTCCCTGAAAACATATTTGGTGTCTGTCCCAGGCGTCACTCCAGCTCCCGTCGCAGTACAACTTTGCCATGACCGTGCACGGCCGGGTAAGAGGCCGGACCGGGCTGAGGGTGGTGGTCAAGGCTCTGGACCCCACAGCTGGGCAGCTGCATGGCCTCGCCAAAGAACTCTCTGATGAGATCCAAATCCAGGTAAAGGCCAGGTGGGCAGGAAGCACATGTGAGAGGGAGAGTAAGTGCCAGCCCAGTGCCCTTGTCCTCAGGGGCCATGAAGGTACATGTCAGCCCTTCCACTGCCACAGGCAGGCCCTACCCCGAGCAGTTCTCAGTCTGCTGGGGTCAGGGTCAGGGTATATGAGCTACTCTGGGAGCCCAGAGACGTGGCTGCCGAGAGCTTTGCAGAGGAATGCATTTCAGGGGGGAGGAACCAGCTGGCGGCCAGGCAGATGGACGGCACGGGCAGGGTGGGAGGAACCGGCTGGCAGCCAGGCAGATGGACCGGCATGGGCAAAGGCCTGGGGGTCTGAAATAGCTTGATGTGTTCCCAAAATAGAAAGTCATTCTGACTTTCATGGGAGGAAAAGGCTGGAAAATAGTCTGAGTCGGGCATTAACATATTGTCTGAATTTATTTTACAAACACTCTTAGAGGACCTGACTGTTAGACATGTTTCCTGTTTCCCAGAACTCCTGTAGGCCTGATGGCAAGAGCTGCCTTGACAATAAGCCTAGGGCCCCACGGGGGTGGGAGACGGCGGGGAGCGGCCCTTCCAGCCCCCAGTAAGTGGGTGGTGGGCCCTGTGGGTGGCCTGGGAGATGGTGTGGCCCATCACTTCACAGATGAGTCCCCACCTCAGAGGGAGGTGGTCTGCTCACAGCCCTCGAGGGTACACAACCTATTCAGGAGCCGAGACTAGCAGCCCTCCTCCCACCCAGGCTCAGCCTCCACATCTCTCCAACCCACCCTCCTGCCTCCTCTGCCCTTCTGGGCCCCTCTGTCAGACTGGAGAGTTGATGCTCTGAAGAGCATTTTTAGCTTTAAGGACCCTCTTCTGCTGATCTGGGGCTCAGCAACCCCTGGGTCCTCCTAAATTACAAAGAAAAACTGAAAGCACCCCCTAACTATTAAGACAAAAGAAATGGGTTCAAGCCCCCTCTTCAAGAAGAAATGAACCATTTCTAACCCTGGCACATACCCCAGTAGGAGTGAAGAAGCGGTTTTCCAAGAAGGAAATGCCTGTTTGCCAGCCCCCCTCAACTTGGCTCACATGAGCATTGTACACAGACACTGACACACACGTATGTGCACAGACACAGACATACAGACAAGAACTATGTGCACAGAAACACAGGTACATGCAGATACATAAACACATGAGTACATGTTCTTTTTGGTTAAAATAGAATGAAGTTCTAGCACCTGTCATGGGATTAAAGACGGGCTTTGCAGCTTCCAGTCTCTCTCTGACTTGGTTTCCCCCACTGACAGCGGATGGAGTTTTGACTGCATCAGAAACTTAGAGAAGCTGGATCCAGCCCACAGATGTGTTTTATTTGGCTCAGCGCTTTGAAACAATTTTTTCTTTGTTGCCAACATTTAAAAATAAGATTTTGTATAAAAATCCAATATGCAGCTCATCCTGAAGACATGCATTTGCCATATGGCAAAATCAGCAGGAGATGAGAAGCAGCCACCCTTTAATAGCACTGTGCTCTCCAGTTTGCCACAGGCCCCATCACTCCCTGTTGTATCCTTGACAGTGAGGCTGAGTCAGTGGCATTGGTCATGCATGTTCCCTTTTGCACATACATCCTGGTGCACACACACCCCTCCCTCAACAGCACCCCCGGGGACTGAGGTAGAGCATGCCCCTGGCTCTGTAAAGCATCTCCCATCAGGGTGCCCAGCATGCACCTGCCTGTTTCCCTCATCCCACCTCTGGTGTCTCCTAGCGGTCAGCCCTCACCAGTGCATCACCAGCTAGACAGATGCTTGCTGGCAGCAGTTTCTCATCTGTGCGCCACACTCGGCTCTCCCTGCTGAGAGAGCAGGAGATACGAGACATGATTCTGGTATATCACATGAAATAAAATGTGCCTCTGTTTTAGGTATTTGAAAAGCTGATGCTGCTGAGCCCAGAAATAGAAGCAGAACAAATACTAATGTCACCCAACTCATTTATAAAGCTTCAGACAAACAGGTACACAACTGGTTTTTAGCAAGGTCATGAATCTGTGCTTGGTCCAGTAACTCGTTTATCAAAGTTGTCAACAGCTGTGGCTGCCTCAGGTACACTGGGCATCTTTCTTGGCATTGCCTTTAAAATGGGTGTGGCCTCACATTTCTCCTTCTCTCTGTGTGGACATCCCCATTCTTCCTCATCACTTAGACCTGCAGGCCCTCTTCTCCTCCTTGTGGCCTAAAAACTGTTTAATGTCTGCTGTTGAAATCCAGTACTTCAAAGGGGGGAAAGCACCAACTTGGAAGTGTTAAATTTTCCAAATCCTGTGTATCTTGAAGACTAGCCACTCAAAGTATAGTCCACAGACCTGCATGGCATCAACTGGGAGCATGTGAAAATGCAAATCTCGGGTCCAGATGGGTTCAATTCCCAGTCAAGGGCACGTGGGCACGTATCTAGGTTGCAGGTTCGATCCCTATTTCAGATTGGGGCATGTGCTGGAAGCAGCCAATCAGTGTTTCTCTCTCTCTCTCTCTCTCTCTCTCTCCCCTCCCTACCTCTCCTATCTCTCTCCCTAAACTCAATAAAAACATTTTTATATCTCTCTCTCTCTCTCTTCCCCTCTCCTCTTCCTTCAACTCTCTCTCTAAAAAAATCAGTGGGGTGGGCCAGTCTGGTTCAGTGGTTGAGTGTTGACCTATGAACCAGGAGGTGAGGGTTTGATTCCTGGTCAGGGTACATACCCAGGTTGTGGGCTTAATCCCCAGTAGAGGGCATGCAGGAGGCAATCAATTAGTGATTTGCTCTCATCATTGATGTTCCTATCTCTCCCTCTCCCTTCCTCTCTAAAATAAATAAATAAAATATTTTTTTTAAATCAATGGGGGGAAAAAAGAAGAAAATGCAAATCTTGGGCACCACCCCAGACCTGCACTTTAACAGGATCTTCTGGTGATGGGGATATACATTAACGTTTAAGAAACACCTTTGAAATCATTCTGCAGACATAATTCCTACCTTGCATTCCAAGTGGATGCCTTTGGCAGCCATGACTTGCATTGGAATGCTGTTGCAAGATAGGGGGCAGTGAGGACCATAGGAGCACTTACATGTTCCATGAAACACATACACATGGTATTCATTTAACCAGATTTTCTAAATGTTAAGTTGTGTGCCAGGCTCCAGGAACAGAGGTGGATGACACATGGTGCCCTTAAGGAGTTTGGTGGGGAAAAGATAGGATGATAAAAGCTATAATGAAATGAAGTTTCATTCAAGCCACAGCCCAAAGAAGGCCTTCCATGTGAAGAGTTATGGTAGACATGTCACAGAGATGCTTGAGCTGGGTCTTGAAGATGCATAGGAGTTCTGCAGAGGAGGAGAGGTTGATGAGGGGGCTGAAAGTTGAGGCAGAGTTTGATTAAAGTCCTCTCAGGAGGGTCTTCGGGGCTAGGGCACCACACCTTCCTTTCTTTATGATGTTAATGAGTGTGTAAGGGATGTGAATGCTGCAGGATTTGTCTTCCACCTAGTACATGATATCAGTGGCTTCACAGATCATTTTCTGAGCAAGTAGCTCATTTTCACCCTGTTTCCGCCCTTGGAAATAGGACATTGCTTCCCGTTCACACTGATGTGCCTAAAGGCACACCGCTGTTTGCAGGGTGATGGGACGGCCTCCGGGTTCTGTCCCATTCAAAGCTCCCACCTTCTTTCTGCTACACCAGGCTGCCTTATTTCAGTAGTAGGAAAACAATTTGCCTCAGAAACAGTACTTTACAGTAAATGCCCCATGTGGCTGGTGAAAGGAAATCAGCCCTCATGGTATCTGTCTCCCTGTTGACTGGCCATGTGAGGAGCTGTTCTTGGAAGAGTGGGAAAAGATACTTTCCTTGGAACTTTTGGTTTTCCAAATCAGGTTCCTGTTAGTGACTGAAGAGGCAGACTGCCCACACGTAAACAGCTCTGTTTTGTTTTCCAAAGGGATGGCACAGCATCTCTGAGCTACCGTGTCCTGAATGGGCCCGAGAAGGTTCCCATCGTGCACATTAATGAGAAAGGCTTCCTGGTGTCAGGGCCCACAATTGGGACTTCTACCATTGAAGTGACTGCCCAAGAGCCGTTTGGGACCAACCAGACCATCATCGTTGCAGTAAAGGTAGGGTCCCGTTATTCTCCTTTTTAGAGTAATAAGCAGTAGTGCGGAGGTAATATTTCTCCCCTTGCAGGTATAAAAATGAATATATTCCCCTGCAGCTGAGAAATCATATGTAAGAATTTATTTCAGAATAGCCAGGGGCAAAGTTCCTAGGTAAAAAGCTACAGCATCTTCTGGCTGTCCAAGCCAGAGGTCTTTGGAAATTATAGAGTGCAATCACCTTGTTCATAACTGGGGAAACTGAGGCACAGCACAGTCCTGTGATTTGCCAGCACTGGCACCCCAGGGTCTGGATGGGGCAGCTGGTACCTGGCACATGATAAGTGCCACTGAATGCATGAGCTAGATACCGGACCCACAGTTCATTACATGACACCGGCGGCAGCCTGGACAGGTAGGTGACACATGCTATGGGCAAGAAAACCAGGATCTAGAGTGGAAGTGAGTTGCTCAAGGTCACAGTGGTTGCAAGTCAGTCTGGGTGCTGACCTGCCTTGGCCTGGCTCAGGCTTGTGTCCTCTGGTCACATCACGGTGCCTCCCGGGTCGCTCCTCAGTGAGGGGAATTTGTCCTTGGACATCCCTGGGGTTTATCTTAACGTGAGATATTCCATATCTCATCACTGCCATCTCTAAATCCTAGATGACAGAGAAAGTACATGACTGTTTTTATGTTTAGATTTTCCCTGGGTCTCAGGCCTACTTCCTTAAGTAATGGCTCTTTGTTTCAAGGTGAGTCCCTGGCAGGGAAGCTGCACCCTAGTTTCTGAGTGAGTGGAAGTGATTGACTGCTCGTGGCACAGCTGTGTGCCATCACTGCACGTCTGAACGCTGTCAAAGATGTCAGGCCTGTGGGGAGCCAGCTTTTGTTCAGATTTCATTTGGAATTAGAGAAGCAAGACTGATCTTTATGGAGCTCAGGTTCTTGGGCTTCCAAAACCCATCATTCTCGCCTTTCCCCATCGGTCCTTTCCCCGGAGCAGCTTCAGGTGTGCAGTGTCTCCAGTCAACGCTGCCTCTACAACCCAAGCAGGCAGCATTCTCCTTTAAATGCCATAGAGCCTGGGCTTCTGAGGACAGAACAGTCAAAGCTCAGGATATCTTTGCAACCTGAATAATGGTCTAATTTTCAAAGTCATAGATTTTAACTCTTGTGGGTTAAGTTGGCTCACTGTGTAGGGAGGTGGGAACCTCGTCACTAGGTTGGGACACTCTGGGGAGCAAGGCCTTTGCTCTTTGTTGGTCTGGCCCCCAGTCCTCCCTGAGATGGGGACCAGCTAGGGACAAGCATCTCCTTGGGAGGTGGGTTTACCCACACAGTCGTTGCCATATCTGCTAATTGTCCTTCAGGTGGCTCCGGTGTCTTACCTGAGGATCTCCCTGAGCCCTGCCCTGCACACCCGGAACAATGAGGCTCTGGCTGCCCTGCCTTTGGGAATGACTGTGACCTTCACTGTCCATTTCCATGACAACTCTGGAGATGTTTTCCATGCTCACAATTCGATCCTCAACTTTGCAACTAACAGGTAGGGTGTGGGTGCTGCTCTTTTCTCATGCGAAGTTATGTCTTGATTGTACCTACATTTAATTTATAGATGTGACTGATGACAACACAAAGAAGCTAAGGGCATTGAAAGAAAAGTTTTGTTAGAGTTTCTAGGAAGAGGGGGCATGCCTCTCTCAAAGGGCCACCAGGGGAAGCACCAGGTGTGGCCCAGAGGCAGGAGGAGTGAGGGAAATGTGGTTGGGAGCCTTTGTTTGCTCTGTGGCAGGATGTTATTGGGTGGAGATGTTCCCTGATGGTCAGGAAGCAAAACACAGATGTGGGGGTTTGCAGTTGGAGGGTTTACAGTAATATTTTTGTGTACCTTTGAAAGCTGGATAGCAAGGGTGGTATAGACAGCCCTGGCCATGTCTAGGCCCTGTAATCCGTGGATGCACATCACCATTATACACTCACAAAAGTTGGTCAGAGCAAATGAGGCACACACCTTCGATGCGCGGTGTTCACTGGCTGCAGCCTGTGTGCAGGCTCTTCTACTGACATCTCGTTCTTCACTGTGGCCCATGGCTGAGACCCAGAGAGGTCACGCAGCCAGGAAGTGAGGCTTGAATACCAGCTCCAAGTGCAATTCTTTTTGGATGACTCTTCTGAAATACAACTGCAGCCTCAGACCTAATGTGAGGAGGGAGAGGGTGGCCTCAGTCTAGGCCTACTAAAACCCCTGAGTCCGTGGGAGAGGTGGTTCTCAAGTGTGGTCCCCAAATCAGCATCATCAGCATCATTGGAGAACTCTTAGAAATGACACTGCCAGGGCCCAACGATCTCTGTTTTAATGAGGCTTCTATGAGACTCTAAAGGTTGAGCACTACGGCCCAGGGGGATGCAGTCCCAGCTCAGAGGAGGAGAGAGAAGCGTCAGACCAAGGGGGTGGAATAGGCCTGGGGAGTTCTAGGCAGCACTGGGCTGGGGGCACGGGAGACAGTCCAGGTTCTGATGACCATTGCAGCCCGGCCTTTCCAGGTGCCCTGGAACAGATGTGTCCCCTATTGCTAAGACACCCAATGCCAGACGCTGGAGGTATGGCATGGTCGGAGAACCTGGGTTTAGAGTGAGACTCGGTTCCAGCCCAGCTCTGCTCTTTATAAGCCTGTGAGCTTGGGCAAGGCAGGTCACCTCTCCAGACCTCTGTTTTCACACCTGTCAAGAGGGTAATGTGGCAACTGAGGCTGTGGGTGTGAGGGCCTCTGCCAGCTCTGGAGTTTTGTGCACACAGTATGGACATCTGTCAGTCTGGGGTGCAGGCTGCCCTGTAGGAGGTGGAGCTGGGTGTGGCAGCCCCTAGCTACAGTGCAGAAGCTACACTGGCCCTTGTGTAGTAGGAGCCTCTAAGAGAGCAGTCAGGGTTCAGGAGTCAGAAGGTGTGGTGGAAGGAAGTGATGAGGCCAGGGACCCTTACCCAAAGCCTCCTAGTCCAAGCCTTCACACTGGACAACACTGGCCGGTGTGGATCGAACTGTTGCCAGGCACTAGTCTGAGCACCTCTAGCTGCTGATCTAGTTTGGTGCTCACACCATTCCTGTGACAAGGGTTCATTCTTATACTCATCTTACAGATGAGAGTGCAGAGGCTACTTTACTTGTTCAGGCTACACCGCAAAGGGCAGCCTGTGCCTCCCCAGGACATGCCCACTTCCTGTTGACAGCACTCTGCAGGCCAGTTTTCTCTCGGGGCCTCTCCTTTTCCTTCTGTAGTGTGGGTGGCGATGCAGCCGCTCCTGGCTGAGGCTGCGGGTTCCTCCAGAAGATGAGGTGAGGGCAGGCTTGTTGGGCCTGTGGTGCTTTCTTACCTAGAGCGCCTGCTAGGTGGCTGTGCATTGGAGTGACATCTGGGCTGTTGCTCAGCAAAAAGTATTGCCCAGCAGAGGACTGATGCTGCATTTCTCTCTCAAGTCAGGGCTGTTTCCTGACACTGAGAGCCTTCATCTTCCTTCTGTGCCTAGGGACGAGTTTGTGCAAATCGGGAAGGGCACAACCAACAACACCTGCATCCTCCGCACTGTCAGCGTGGGCCTGACGCTGCTCAGTGTGTGGGACACGGAGCACGCAGGCCTCTTCGACTTTGTCCCATTGCCTGTCCTACACGCCATCTCTCCGGAGCTGTCTGGAGCGGTGGTGGTGGGGGACATCCTCTGTCTGGCCACTGTTCTGGTCAGCCTAGAAGGTAAGAGAGACACTGGCTGCAGGCACCCTCCCTTATGAGACACGGGCCCTCAAAAAGATGGGAGTGGTCTCCCTGGGAGGTGCTCAGCTTCTTGCTGTGGGGGACGTACATATAGAATCCGGATGATGCTCTAGAACGGGAGTCAGAAGACTGCCACCTTGGGCCACAGCCAGCCTGTTGACTGTTTTTCGCAAATAAAATTTTATTGAAACTCAGCAACACCCATTCATTTACTTGTCAGTAGCCATTTTCACCCAACTTTCAGTTTGGATGGTGGCATAGGAGACCTTTGGGCACACACAGCCCCAAATATATGGCCCTTTGCCACCCCTGCCCTGAAGCAACCCTGTCCAGGAGTATTCTGCCAGCGTGGAAGTGCCCTGTGTCTACACTGTCTGACACAATAGCCACTAGCAGGTAAACACTTGAAATGCAACTAATGCAGCTAAGGAACTGAATGTTTCGTTTGGTTTTATGCTGGCAGCTATCATGTGGCCAGCATGTCTCTCTAAGGAAACCTAAGCAAAGAATAGCTATTGGGCCAGTTTAGTGACTTCCAAATTTCAGTCCTTCCCATGCCACCTGTACATCTATGAACTACATGTACAATTATTGATTAAATTTTTTTCAAATTGGCTATTTTTTTACCTAATTAAATTCCTTTTAAAAGGAAGATAAACACTGCCTTAAAGAAAAACAAATATAAGTTGCCATAAATAGACTGTGGTTGTTCAGTTTTTAATTTTATCCTATATAATAAAAGCCTAATATGCAAATTGACCAAACGGCAGATTGACCAGCAGGATGACCAGTTGCTATGACATGCACTGACCACAAGGGAGAGACACTCAATACAGGAGCTGCCCCCAGCTCGCAGGCCCCAGGCCAAGCAAGGTGGGGTGCCAGCAGGGGCCCCCAATAGCCCCACCGGTTGCCCTGCAGAGGGAGGCGACCAGCAGCAGGGGACAGGGCTGGTGAGTAGGCAGCGCCAGGCCAGCCAATCTGGGTGCCAGTGAGGGCCCGTTGATTGCCCCATCAGTCACCCCACAGATCGGCCCTGATCGTCGGCCAGGCCTAGGGACCCTACATGTGCATGAATTTTGTTCATCGGGCCTCTAGTTTATTATATTACAAATTTGTGCACCAGTGGGGTCCCTTGGCCTGGCCTGCGGGATTGAGCTGAAACTGGCTCTGACATCCCCAAGGGGTCTGGATTGCAAGAAGGTGCAGGCCAGGCCGAGGGACCCCACTGGTGCACTATCTGAGCTGAGGAGGGATGCGGGGGGTTGGCCAGTCAGGGAGGGAAAATGGGAGGGCTCCAGGGTATGTCCGGCGTGTCTCACTCAGTCCTGATCGGCCGGACCCCAGCAGCAAGCTGACCTACGGGTCAGAGAGTCTGCTCCATGGTGGTCAGTGCACATCATAGTGACTGGTCAACCAGTCGAATGTCTGCCCCCCGGTGGTCAGTGCACATCATAGTGAGCGATTGAGCAGCTTTAGCATATCATTAGCATATTACACTTTGATTGGTTTAACAGACGACCGGACACTTAGCATATTAGGCTTTTATTATATAGGATGTGATTAACTTTTAATTAAGAAGTACTGTCTGGTGACGGTTCTGAGCCTGACACCTGCTTTATTTGGTCAAAAGGGACTGATAAATAATGGGCGCCAGGGACAGTGCTGTGGGGAAGAGCATGTAGAGGGTGGGGCCTGGAGGGCCAGCACCCAGGTCATCTCAGGATGGGGGAATGACTGAGAGACAAGCAGGGAGGGGTTGGAGGTGGGAGGGGCTGGAGGATCCTTCTTGGCAGGGCAACAGTTGTACAATGTGCAGATATGGTAGAACTTGCTGGTGGTTCCAGGTGGCTGCAGCCAGAAACATGAGGGGACTGGGTGAGCAAGGCTTCAGAGGTAGACAGAGCACAGTTTCTATCCTGAGGGAGATGAGATGTGAGTGTGGGGGTGGGACAGCGTGAAGACTGGCACAATCACCAGGTGAGGTAGAGTTTGGCAGGTGTGTCAGATGTGGGAAAGATAGGTGACACCTGGGGCTTTCTCCCCCAGGTCTCTCTGGAACCTGGAGCTCCTCAGACAACAGCATCCTCCACATAGACCCCAAGACAGGAGTGGCCGTTGCCTGGGATGCAGGATCCGTAACGGTTTACTATGAGGTTGCTGGGCACCTGAGGACCTACAAGGAGGTGAGTTTCAGGACACACGTGGCTCAGTGGCCCGAGAGGCATAGCTGAACTTCTTGGGGTGAAACTTTCAGTTTTTGGTACTGAATGATTCCCTTTTCTCTAAGAAATAACTGTCAGTGCCTCGGGAGGCAGTCAAGCTCTGAGAGTGATAAGTCTGGGTTCTGCCACCCACTTACTTCTGGGATTGGAATAAGTGTCCTTTCATTTCCGGCCTCTGTCTCCCTATTTTCAAATTGTGTGATGATAAGAGGCGATCTCCTAGGGTTGGTCCATCTATTTGATTCACGCTATGCCTGGAAGGGCAGGAATGACCTGTGTGGGCTTTCTTGGGCATTGTGGCTATGGGCAGGCCAGCCTAGCGATTTGGCATTACTGGCAAAGTTAAACCTCCTCCAACAAGTGACCTTTTGAGTCTTTCTGGAGGCAAACAAAACTGCTCTCTCTTCTGTTTATCTCCAGTTGAGAATGAATCAGTGAGCACGTCTGGCTGCACCCCAGTGTATCCCTAGAGCCAGCCTGCCTGTATGGAATCCAGCAACATCACCCAGGAGCTTGCACGTTAGTGCTGCAACTCTGCAGTTTGGGCCAACTGGGTGCAGGGAGAAGCACCCGGGGACTGATAAAGCCGTGCTCTCCTGGAATGAGCTACTCAGAGTGGTAAAGGGCGGGACCTGGGGAAGGAAGGCTGACAGAGAGAGCATGGCATGGGCAAAGGTGTGCAGGGTTCAAGAGCCCAGTCCTGGTGGCTGGAATATAGGATGTGGGGGAATGGAGGCTTGCATTGGGATTAGATCATGAACTGCATTAATTTCAGGTAGTTAGTTCCATGGAGTGGTTAAGTATGTAGGCTCTGGGGCCAGGCTGCCTGAGTTTAAATCCCAGCTGGACCACCTGCTGAGAGGCTGTGTGGCCTTGGATAAGTTATTTAATCTTCCTGTGCCTTGGTTTTCTTATTTGTAAAATGAGGATGCAGAATAATGAGTTAGCATGTGGGAAGCACTAAGAATGGTACTCAGCACGTAGCAAATGCTCAGTAGGTATTAGTTGTACTGTTACTATTCCAGGGTAAAGGGGTTGAAGCTTATACTAGATGCAGTAGGGGTTCATCAGGGATTTTTTAATCAAAGAGTGACATGGATCAGCAGTAAGTGTTGGAACAATCACCTGGTGCCCAGCAGAGTCTAAGAGCCCAAGAGAGGAGGAGTAGCTGCAGAGTAAGCAGCCAGGAGACCAAAGATGGGCCCTCAGCTGGCAGCACTGGGTGGGCAGAAAGTAAGATGACTTTGGAAGAGATTCAGGAGGTAGGGTCATCAAAGTTTGGTGACTATTTAGAAGTAGGGGATGAGGGAGAAGGGGTCCTTCTCCCTCCCCAGGGTCTGGCTTGGGTGATGAGGTAGATGGTCCTTTGCTGTGAGAGGGGAGCATCGAAGGGGAGCCCAGTTAGGGGAAGATGATGAGTGACTTTGGGGCATGATGAGTTTGAGCTCTTCCAGGAGGGACTTGGGGGGGCGATGGATGCAGCTGGGTATGTGTGTCTGGAGCTCCAGGGCAAAAAGCTGGAAATAGGGGTGAGGTTTACAGCACAGTGATGGTCTTGAAGACTTGGATGTGGGTGGGAACAGGCAGGGCACACCAGAGCAACAGGGGAATGGGGCCGAGGCCCTCACCCTGTCTGCAAAGTGCTGAAAGATTAATTAACCAAATTGACGAACAGAGAAGTGATGATACCTGTCACAGGAGCCAAAATCCACAGCCCATACCAGACCGATGACCATTTCAGGCCTGCTCTTCAGCTCCCTGCTCCTGTTCAATGGGAGAGCACTGGGCTATGGAGTCTGACCTGTTCCAGCACATAATTTAAGCTTTGAACCTCGGTTTTATCACCTGTGAAATGGGCAGTCCCTGCATCCCAGGCCACAAGTTGAGATAAAAACACAGCACTCAGTGAAGTTCCCTTGGCTTCCTTCTAGCTAGTGATTGGCATCCCTCAAAGGATTCAAGCCCATCACATCCACCCTGTCCAGACCAGCTTCCAGGAGGTCACAGTCTTCAAAGTGATGGTCACCGTGGGAGACAGAAGCTCTAACCTGAGAGGTAGAGAGTGAGTGGGACTCGGGCGGTCTGGGTAGGGAACTTGCCAGACTCCAGGAGTGGGAAGGGGGCTTCTTATGCTCCTCTAATGGGTTTTGTGTGCTTTTCCTACTCAAGTGTTCTCCAGAGAGAACACTTAACCCCAGATGCCTGCCCCATTCAGCATTTTAGAAATTCGAGTGATCCGCAAGCATAAGTTGTGAAAGGAATCTTCCCAAAAGAGCCTGACCCCGAGAAACTGTGTTTCTTAGCTGGAAATGCGACTTCAGCCCTAGGGCAGCAGATACAGAAAGCCACGCTGACCACCACGAATCCCAGAAAGGAATGGCTTAGCAGGCCTCATTGCAGACGTGGCGTTTTGTGATTACCTGTCCCAAGTCATACACAGAACATCCAATCCCATCCCCTGCCCACGAAAGCTCTGGATAGCAGCTTCCAGAAATAAATACATCAATTAAGGCTTTTTTAAAAAAAACTTCACTGGTGGAATTAATCAGAACTGTTTTTGTTCTAATTAATGAGGCAGCTTTATTGCATCACAGTCCTCTCTTCCTACCTCAGTGCCAGTGAGCAAAGGGGAACTGTTGCCCCCCTGATGTCCAGATATCAATTGCCCATTTTCCCCACTGGCAGGAACAGACACGTTAGCAGGCCTGACCCACCCACATCCCATGCCCCTAGACCAGCTGTGGACAAACTACGGCCCGTGGGCCGGATCCGGCCCGTTTGAAATGAATAAAACTAAAAAAAAAAAAAAAAGACTGTACCCTTTTATGTAATGATGTTTACTTTGAATTTATATTAGTTCACACAAACACTCCATCCATGCTTTTGTTCCGGCCCTCCGATCCAGTTTAAGAACCCACTGTGGCCCTCGAGTCAAAAAATTTGCCCACCCACGCTCTAGAACAAATGCTGAAATTCTGATCTGAAATTGCCTGAGATTCAAAATGATCCCCATCCTCTGTAAAACTTGTCCTTCGCTTTTATAAACCATGACACCTAATAATCCTAAATAATGCCTTTACAGAACTTTTTTAAAAAATATATTTTATTGATTTTTTACAGAGAGGAAGGGAGAGAGATAGAGAGTTAGAAACATCGATGAGAGAGAAACATTGATCAGCTGCCTCCTGCACACTCCCCACTGGGAATGTGTCGCAACCAAGGTACATGCCCTTGACCGGAATCGAGCCTGGGATCCTTCCGTCTCCAGGCTGATGCTCTATCCACTGAGCCAAACTAGCTAGGGCCTTTACAGAACTTTTTATTGCACCTGGGGCCCTAAGCTGCACCCTGAGTCAGCTTGACCTGCAGCCCAGCGTTGGGTGATGCAGTCTGCTGTTCACCATTCTGTCACCTTTGTTCTGTCACCTTTGGAGAACCCTAGGGGCTCCTCATGGAAGGCATTTGGGGTGCAGTTGCCATTTTGTGGCCCGGCCAGCCTCCATGTGCCTGTCTGTCCCTGCTCCCTCATCTTGGGGCTCTTCAAGCAGGTGTAGAAGCCTTGATGGGCCAGATGTGGCGGTCAGCAGCCTGGCCCAGCCCAGCCCTTCTTAACGTCTCCCCATCTCTAGGTGAGTGTTCCGTGGCCCAGGTGGAGGTCATCAAGAAGCTGAGTCCGGAATCCCGCATCAGCTGCCAGGTCCAGTTCAAGCAAGACATCCTCAATGTACCGGCCTATGATGTATTCACTGCAGAACCAGCATTCGATGCTGCCCTAGGTAAGTCTCCAGGGGTTGAAAGTCGAAATTAACTTGCACAGAGGGTTGCCTTCAGTGCAGTTGACTCACAATGGCTGTCTGTCCAGAGGGGCAGTCTTTCAGGAGCCCAGTTAAGGATTGATGCTGTCACTCCGGCTCTGTGGTTCATTGTGTCCTGCAGGCGAGGTGGGTGTTTCTGTGATGGGTCATGGCCATTTTCAGCAACCACCTACCCAGCAGAGGGACATGGTCAAAGTTGGAAACCCTGAGCTCGATCACTTTTTGCTCTTCCCAGCTCAGAGCCTGTAAGTGCTGAGACTGCATCCCTCCATAAAATGGGGAGGGTGGCACCTTGCTCTACCTGCAGGTCAGGGCTCTGAAAGGAGCAAGCCAGAGAGCGATGGAAGGACCTTATTGAATAGGGTCATGCAATGTGCCATAACTAGAGCTGTGGAACTGAAGACCGGCATCATAGACAGGAGTGGCTGCCTGCCTGAGGTGTGCTGGCCAAGACACGTCAAGCATCATCTCCTAGGTTTCAGGAAAGGGGTACCCACCTAGGATGCTGTGAGGGTTCAGGGGATAATTCCTGCTACAAGCAACAAATATCCTGAGTCCTCTGTGGTAGCTGCCGGTGTTAGGATGATGACTGATGATGACCAGTCTTACCTAGGAGAGGTTAGCAGGCCATGAGCCCAGTTTGCAGCTCCCAGTGGCCTAGGGTCGGGGCTTCCTCTTCTTGCGCTCACTCTGCAGCTCTATCCCTCTGGCCGCAGCACCAAAGCATCTTCAGCACCCAAGCCCTGTCTGGAACAGGACTTACATCATGAGAGCACATGCGTGTGCTAAGCTCAGGGCTTAGCACAGAATAGGCACCCAGCAGTCCCAGTCCCTGGCTACTCAAAGACACAGCCCTAAGGAGAGTGATGTTATTGCCACTTGACCAGAAGAAACAGGGCCACCACAAAACTGACTCATCTAGGGGTGCTTAGCTGGCATAGGCATGGGAGGACTCCTCTAGGGGCACTTGGCTGGCATGGACATTGAAGGGACCCTAACCCAGGTTCAGGTTTGAGGTTTAGGATGCTTTCCAAGGCATTGCTCAACAGTGTCTGTTCTATCAGCTCATTATCTATCTGGGTCAGGCATGGAGGACAGGTGATACCAAATAATCCTAACTAATGCCTTTTCAGAACTTCTATCTGCACCTGGGGCCCTAAGCTGCACCCTGAGTCACCTTGACCTGCAGCCCAGCTCTGGGTGATGCAGTCTGCTGTTCACCCTTCTGTCACCCTTCTCTGAGCCAGGCTGGCTGGGCCCAGCTGCAGAGCTGTACCAGGTGTTCCTGCCCAGAGAGCATCAATCCAATGGAGATCTGGGGAGTATAGAATTCTGAGACAGTGTGGGAGAGTGGTGGGCATTAAAATGGTGTTTAATGGGCTGGAGACAGTGACGAAGGACTTCCTAGGAGACCCTTGGAGGAGGTGACACCTCACCTGGGCTCTGAAGGATGAGTAGGAATTCTCCAGTTAAAGCAGGGAAAAGGAATAGCATTAGAGCATGGATGGGAAAAGGGACAAAGTGGAACACCCTTGTCTCCACAGGTCGGTACTTGTGCTCGGTCACGATGCACAGACTGACAGACAAGCAGCTGAAGCACCTGAGCATGAAGAAGACAGCACTGCTGGTCACAGCCTCCCTCCGGGGCAGCCACTTCTCTGGAGAACAGGTTGGGGTTGAGGTGCCCTTCAGCCCAGGACTGTACACCGACCAGGCTGAAATCCTTTTGAGCAACCACTATACCAGCTCCGAGGTTAAGGTCTTTGGTACCATGGAGATTCTGGAGAACCTGGAGGTAAGTGGCATCAACACACAAGCCTAGGGCGTGAGGAAGGACCAGGAGGCAGAGAGGGTGAGGTGGTACATGGAAATCCAAATTACCTCTTTTTAAAATAAAAAAATGTTTAATATTCTTACCCTTTGTTCCCCATAGCACTGTTGGTCTCTATTAGCCTGTATAATTATATTGATTATTATGATTC